TTGGGAGAGTCTGTTGCACGGGGGGTGAAACGACCTCTGATTTTATTTTTGTCCCTTAGTACTTAGTGATTATTGTTTGGGTTACGTTCTAATAGCAAATTCTGTAGAGCAACATAGCAGACGAGGAAACCAGCTACCTAACGTCGATAATCTAAATTCAGATTAATTTATACTCGCCGTCGAAAGAACCTGAGAAACGTCAATTAGCATCTAACACTGCTGATAGTAGAACGCTGCCTTGTAATCCTGGGGTCTCGGGTTCGATTCCCGGCGGTGCCCGAATTTATAACTTGTGTTGGGCAAGGCCGTGGTCGAGGCAACACGGAGTTTTCCTCCGGGGGCTTCCCCGGTTTCTCCGTGGCATCCCAACAATTACTCCATTCACACACAGAAGAAGGCAATGGCAAACCACTTCTGGATCATCTGCCAAGAACGTATATGAACAGGTCCCAGTCAGAGAAAAGGATGGAAGGATCCTGTTCATATGGACCTGTCGTCAGACAGAACACTAAATAAAATATAAAATAAGTTCTGCACGGAGTGTGAGTAGTTACGGTAACGCGGTGTCTTGTGTTATTTCACGAGGAAGTCAATACATCTACTAAGGTGAAATAGAAGTGCAGATATATATATATATACACTAATTAAAAACTTGCTTTTCGTAGCATCCTTCCGGCCTCTTACAAACGCCTTGAATGTAGGACACCTGCTATGCAATGTTGCTCATTCATGTCCCCACTCACACTTGCGGAAACTGCGTGATCCTGACGAAGTGGGAGAACCTCTTTGTCAGTGTAACAGTGGTAGAGAATGATTTATCGTACTTGGTTCAGAACTCTGTTGCATGTTGACTACATTACAGGTCAAGGTAGCTTGTTTTTTCAGCCATACTGTAAAAGACCAAGTGTAATGCCTGTCCTGCAGCAAGAGAAAGTAAATCATGGAAGTCGACAACAGTTTCTTATTGCAGAATATAACTGCTGATTCCCGTGACTGTTCTGTTGAAGATCGTAGGTTCGAGCTCTATTCATGAATAGGATGTTCATCTGCTTTTTGTGATAACAGATGCTTAGAAAATTCGTGATAATCACATATAGTCTCAGAAGCACACATTTAGTGATTCTAGCGTCGTATTTACTCATTCATTCAATTCGACTGCTGCCCGATTCTCATGTAGATTGCTTTGCCAATCGCGTACGATTTCGACGTAAAATATTGTGTGTTGCGAATCAGGAATAGTGTTTGAAAAAAATAAATGTGCATAATATCTTAAATTACCCGTTTCCGCTCTTGTTTTGACAGAGACTGATATTTGCTCGGACCGTGCACTTCTTGTGACCAGGTCTGAGAACATTAGCTAGCCCTGGTTACAGTGTGAAAGAGCCGAGTAGGTCTGCACACCGCGACAACCCCGCGGGACAATGTACGTCTAGAAAGTATTACGGTTTTGTGAATATGTCGTAATTGGGACGAGCGAATGTAGATATATAATAGTGACTTGAAAGTGCATACAATATGAGACTGAAAAGGTTGTGTCAGTGTCCGTTGGTGTTCCGACGTACTGACCAACTTCCCAGCTTAGTGTCCTGCTAAATGATTAATTAATCGACGTAAAGACAACGTTCGTATGGATTCAGCCTATACCATGGGTATTATACACAGAACTCTGCCACTGTGCTAGGTAATTGCTTATTTGTAATTCTAGTTAGCCTCTCTGTATTGATTAAGTGGTTTAAGAGAAGTGGGCTGAATTCTTCCAATAAACTTTTGTAAATTTGTCATGTAGTGGAGTATTTATTTCGTTAACGTTATAGGTCGTTCGATCCCGTATTAGCCCATTTATATTAAAATAAACAGACAAATAAGCAAACAGAAATAAATTAGTCGACAAATAAGTAAACGAATATGTGATTCTTGGTCCTCACGTTATATAATTACACTTTTTGAGTTGCTCGATGTGTACGGCATCTAATAAGATATGGGAAGATGATCGTGAATAGTGAGTGATTTGGTATTTGAAAGGAATCAGTGTGGCATATCTGAAGTTACTGTCCCAAAATTCACAAGGGGAGACTGAAGAAATCTCTAAAATTCTGTTTTAATATTATTCTTCATCTTAATATTGCCCTCCAATCTAAGTCTGGATCTCCCAAGCGGTTTCTTCCCTTGAGATTACCGATAACAATTGTGTTTGCATTTCTCACTTCTCCAGTTCGTGTTACATGTTTATCCCATGTTGTCCTCCTTGATGAAATCACCCTAACAGAATTCTGTCAAGTACACTAATTATGTCAGTCTTAATTATGCAGTTTTTCGGTCCTTTGTTTCTTTACAACTAGACTTGTAGGTGGGTATATACGAAAGTTGTGGAGGAATTGATGTCTCCATCTTCAGGGCTGAAGATGGAGCAGTACGTTCCTCCGAAACGTTGGCTTCTTCGACAATTACATACGGGGTTGCAGCCCAGAATATATTCAACGCCTTAAGAACCTCGCATTTTTTATGCATTCATGTAATTTTATAGTAACATGAAGTCTGGCGTGCCGTGAGATATTGAACTCTACTTTAGATGGCTGACACGTGATAAATGCTGAGAAACACCGGATCAACGCGCCCATACCTCGAGGTTCTTCATTTCCTGGGCGAGCTCCAGAACAAACTTGGTGCCCCGAGTGTTGAGCAGAACCGCTCGCTTCAGAGGCTCGTCAAACCGTATGGTCGCCGCGGCGTGGAACACGATCGACACGCGGTCAACAAGCAGCTGACGATTGGCCGTCGACAGACCCAGGTTCGTCACTGTCACGTCGCCGGAGATACCCACTACCTTACGTTTTAGCGTGGCGCCATCCATCTGTGCCTTCAGCTTGCCGAATAGCTGGAAAGAAGCAGATTTTGCATTGAATTAACTCATTGGTACATAGGTTTTACCTAATAACCTATCAGTCATAGGAATATTCTTGGTCAGTAAATAGCTGTTATTTTCCTTTAGCTTTTACGGAGTAGGCATACTGGTCTGTTCCAATTCAGAATTAACTTCTGAAACTATGAATCGCAGGGATGGAACACTGGAAGAGAGTAAAGAGGCAAATCGGTATGAGCTTGGACGTGGCCTTCAGCTTCGCGTACACAGCTACAGCGTCAAACTTAAGAGCACAAAGCATTTTCAACTTCTGCGCACACAGAGCCATGTGTTTTCTTACAGCGATACACATTTACCTACAAGAGGATCAAAAGAAATACACTAAAACTATAGATAATATTTAAAAAGTGCATACACAAAATATTTTATCAGAGAAGCAATCTTGATTTTATAAAGGATAGAGTGTTGCAGAATTCGACGTACTGAAGATCCAGTGAATCAAGATGGCTTGTTACGCGAAGTACCAGCGCTCGGTACATCGTAAATTTGCGAGTAAAAAGGCAACGTTACGATTTGAGGTTCTCACGGCCGTGAAGATGTTGATGTTGTTCTGGGCTGTGACGTCGTTTGGACTCAGAGAAATATTCTGAACCCAGGAGAACAATATCGACAGATAAGTTGTTTTTATGTTTATGCACGACGCCATAAAAACGCGCAGAGCAGTGAGGATAAATGTTCAAGCACGTTTAGACTCGGCAGTAGACCAGATGGAGGGTAGTGACCAAGGACATCTTCGTGTTCCTGCCGTTGTACCTTGGGGACGCAGCCCCGTTACCCGTTGAATAGGAGGCTGTCTGGACCGCCCAGTTGGACTGTCTGCCGTAGTGAAGCGAAAAATCACTACCCTTGACGGGAATCGAATTCCTGTCCCCGTTCCTCAGCCAGTGACTGTACTGAATGAGCCGTACCACCTCATATGTTTATGGGACGTGCGTATTTTACTCTGTTTGTACGTAACTGAATAGTTGTACCTAGTAGCTTGGCAGCCCACAACTCGAATCTCGGTCGGGTTTCCGTTTAACATAGTTTTATATTCTCGTGATTTTATTTAGTTTCTCCAAGTATGCTGCTTTTATGAAAGTCCCTACCTACTCGTCGTTCAAAATTACCTTTATATACCACTTCAGGATACATAACTTCGCCAATGAATATTCTGATTGTTGGTTTCGTGGTTTTGTTCTACGAACATATTGGGATAGTACTTTAAATTTGATTGTGACTCCTTCCTTTCACATTCTATCCAATGTATCACACTCAGTCATCCATTCATTCCACTCTATTTAACTGACGCAGTTGAGAAAGCTTCCTAAAATGAACAAAGCAAGAAAAAAGTAAGAAACTTAGAAGTGTTGCTCAACACCGCTAAGACCATTCACGTATGAAGCGTTATAAGCCTTGAAAACCTTTCTTCGGATTGCCCTGAAGGAAAGTCGTCACTTTGATTGTTACAACATGAATATTACATAATACTTTCTTCGGATTGCCCTGAAGGAAAGTCATCACTTTGATAGTTACAACATGAATATTACATAATAGCGTGTTTTGGCAACCTTGGTTTTCGTCTTTGATAAACACAAGCGGTTTTGATAAAAAAAACAGTTGTTCAGTTGCAAATGACGAATACATATTTGTCAATATTTTTAAAATGAAAGTTGTTCCGTGACTCTCAAGCCGGCTAGAAGAAATATCTGTCACCTACTTTAGTAACTGGTCGTCGTAACTTTGTTATAGTATTTACATTATAAGACAACTGCAGTACTGAGGAAAATATTTGGATGCAGCAAAGAGAGTAGCACGAGAAAAGTGTATGATAAAGACTTTCGTAATGTGTACGCTTTTGTTGCTGTTATGAATATTAAAATAAAGAGGATGAGATTAGGCGCGCATGGGCAGATGAGAAATGCAATACAATATTATGGTCGGAAAAGCTCAAGGGAATAATCAAAGTCAACGATATTGCTGTAGAAGGGAGGTTAATATTTAAATTGATATTGGACAAGTAGCGTGCTAGGTTGTCGACTGGAGT